CCTCAAACTACCCTCCAACTCATCACTTGCCATTTCTCACGCTGAGCTTTCTCAGAGAGACTTCCTTGATCCACTCTTCTCTGCATCTTGATCATTGCTCTCAACCACTGTGCGTTGAAAGCCATTGCATTCCCTCATCCCAGATCTGCACACTCTGATAATTCAGGAAAAACCATTTTAATCATAGCAGGCCTCTATTCATATATCCAGCAGATGTCAATAGCTATGCTCCCATGAGGTGATACTGGAGTAGCATGGGCCACGATCCATACAAAACAAGGGGAGACACATGGGGAGAATTCAATGAGGGGAATGAGGGAGAGGAGAAAGGAGGGTGGTGTAGCTAGAGCAGTGGTTCTCAACTTTCCTCATGCCGCGACCCTTTAATACAGTGCCTCATGTTGTGGTGACTCCCCAACCACAAAATTATTTTCGTTGCCACTTCATAACTAATTGTGCTATTGTTATGAATCGGTCAATCCCTGTGAAAGGGTCGTTCAACCCACCAAAGGGGTCAAAACCCACAGGTTGAGAACCACTGATCTAGAGGCTGAGCACCCAGGATTACTGGAAGCCACCTGACGCTAGGAGAGAAACGTGAACAGATTCTCCCTTAGTTCTCTTTTAGAAGCTGTATCTTTTTGTTTGCAGTCTCATGCAGCATCTCTGTAGTCTGTTGAGGGTGTACCTTTACACCGGGGCTGGGGAACCATTTCTCTGCGAGGGCCATTTGCATATTTATAACTTCATTCACAAACGATACAAAACAATCAACTTAAAAATTAGCCTGGTTATTTTTGGTTAAACTCTAATTAACTTTCTCCTAATGGGATGGCCACTTGTGTTTGGTGAGGCAGGTGCTATTAGCTGGTATTGATGATTTCATGGGCCTGATACAACTTGCCTTATTGAGCTGCTAACTGCAAGGTCAGCAGTTCCACACCACCAGCCACTCTGTGGGCCAGCCATCCCCTACCCCTGCTTAGACAGAAGAATATTTTGAAGTTATCACCTTGTCAAGTAACCCGAGAACAGGTTTTGGTTTTTCGTGTTACTATGGGGGCATACATCAGACTTGGTGTTGATCGCTTCTTCCCCCGCCCCAAATTTTCTTTGGAAAGTAAAAAGCAAAACACTTGAAGTCGATGCCAACTTCAAGTGACCCCATAGGACAGAGTAGAACGGTCCCTGTACGTTTCCCATATTGTAGCTCTTCATCTTTCTCCCGAGCAGTGACTGGTGGCTTTGAACTGCTGACCTTGCAGTTAGCAGCCTAACGCATAACCACTATGCCACCTGGGCTCCTTTCTTTGGAAATAGCCCAGACTAAATAAATGAACTCACTACGCCACTGAAACATCAGAACCTCATGAAGTTGTTAGGAAATATATTAGTATTTGGGGAAAAAGATGTGTTTTTCCACTCATTACTCAGAAGAAAGGCAGAGACTGTAAACAACCATTATAGAACTGTTTTCTAGCTGTCAAAATGCGGAGGGTTTGAGTAGTACAAGGAGTTGATAGAGAATGCCCACCTGGGTTTGCCAAAGACGTGTCAGCTGTTGCTGCCTTGCCTCTGACATGCAACCGTCAGGACATGCGGATTTTTCTTCCCTCTTGATTCAGGTGAGAGGTCTTGAGGCTCATTGTCATCTTTCTTAGGCCATTGATAATGCTGGCCATGCAATGTCATAAAGCACAGCCCTTGTGGTACCTTAGGACCAATGTTATACAAACAAGCACATGGAAGCTTCCAGCCCTCTCAGATATTCAAGCTTAAAGCATGAAGAGGAAAGAAATAGAAGACCCTGGTTGTAAGAGTTTTTGTGCATGCAGGCACACGCAGCAAACACTTCTGTTTGCTCAAAGAGTTGTCTGGGTCGCTGGTTGGCCAAGAGACAGCACTTGAGACCACAGACAGTGTTGGGAAGAGGGAAAGGACGAGCATAAAGAAGGTGGCAGAGCCTACACCAGCAATGAGGGCAGTGTGTTTCCTTTGGGAAGGCTGAGAGGGATTTGAAACAGCGGTTCTCAACCTGGGGGTCGAACAACTCTTTCACAAGGATTGCCTAATACATCCTGCGCATCAGATATTTACATTATGATTCATAACAGTATCAAAATTACAGTTATGAAGTAGCAATGAAAATAATTTTATCGTTGGGGGTCCCTACAACACGAGGAACTATATTAAAGGGTCGCGGCATGAGGAAGGTTGAGAACCACTGATTTGAAATGAGGTGTGATGGCCACTGAAGAAGCAGACTCAAGAAACCCCATATTTGCTGGGTGCTAAGTCCTGGTGGCGTAGTGGTTACTGCAAGGTCAGCAGTTGGAAACCACCAGCCAGCTGCTGCTCGGGAGAATGATGGGCTTTCTACCCTGTGCTCTAGAGTCACTCCCTCCCAGTCGGCATTGGCTCGATGGCCATTAGTTTGGGTTTGAGGTTGCTTTCAAGATAAGAAATTCCACATTATTAGCACGTACTTGAGAATGTCTCGCCACCAAGCCTCCCCAGCTCTTCCTTCTCAGCTCACGTACCCGGTAAAGAGCATCCTTATTTTTGAAACCCAGGTGCACCGTCAGGGGACAGGAGAGAATGGTGGCACCTACCTTTTTTAATGAGCATTGCTACTGAAAGAGAAATTAGCATCACCCTGAATTTTGTGTGATGTCAATTAAATGAAGGTGTTTCATCACACTTTACAACAAATTAGAATTGACTGAACTGAAAATAAGCCCAGCAGCTGGGATAAGCATGGGGTACGTGGCCAGTTTTGCTATTTCTGCTTGGCGTGCCTCGGAGGAGATCTGAATGTCTAATGCCCCGAGGTGTGGGAGTCGCAGTTGGAGAGTGCAGTTTCTAAGATGATGGGTTGAGATGCTTGCAGATCAGTCTTGCCCTCCAGTGTACAACATGCTTAGCAGCGTACCATGAAAATTGGCCCCGCCACACGTGTCTGTGCATCAGAGAGAGGGTTATGAAATTAGTGGAGAACAAGCACCCCGCTTTTGGCTGAACATTAGCAAGCAGACTGGAAATAGATGACCTGGAACGAGGCCGTAAATCATCCACGCTAACTGAGAGATGCTAATGAAAGGACTGAAACTGATCCACAGACTTGATGGCTTCTCCCGAAATCAGCCCAAGTCCCAGGGACTGTCAGCCCCTCGTGTCTGGAGGAAATGGGAACCCCGTCTGCGCCGTCGCAGAGATTTGCATGTAGTCAGAATGCCCTGACATCATATATTCTGGCCTTGGTGAGCAGGATGCCACAGCTGAGCCTTTCGCTCCATTAGCCAGGGTTTTGCATGAATCACGAGCTGATTTTAGGATCTAAAAAATGACCAGAGGAAGGGGTGGGGGGTGGGCGCACACTGTGTCATGAAGAAAAGTCGGTGATAACTAGTGTGTGCACGTGCGAGCTACTGAGGAAAAAGTTTGGTGGGGAAGGACATTAGTAAAAATGTCACTGATTTCAAGTGATCAAGAGGGCAACAGATGAAGATAAAATGATGCTTGTAATTACAGTTCATAAAGAGAAATAGGCCAGATTGAGTATATAGTTTTCCATTTTTTTCGGTCCTCTACAGCTGTCTAACTAAATGCAATAAATGGGTCTGCAGAAATTCCATGCTCCTAGGGTGTTTGGAAAGTAAAGTCTGCACACACTTCCTTTCAGCTCTTTACAAACTATACTTGAAACAGTTTGACCTTCAAAGATTTTTATCTTAAAAAGTAGGGCAGTTTTGGGTAATTTTTTCAGAAACCTAAGCAGCAGAAAGTTTTCCTCATGAAAAATAAATATGGTTTCCTTCCCTAATGTCCTTGATACCAATCCCGCCCCACTCCCCTAACCAATCGCCTTGGCTTGACTTTCAGTACTGTGGGTTTGGATATCGGCAGGGGAAAACGTCAACTCTCCACCACCACTACCTTTTTGGTGGGATTCTGGTCTTACACAGTACCCCACTCTAGGGACACAAGCAGGGAAAGACTGCCTTCCTCGCTAGGGTATCAAAGACATCATGGCACCAGAGAGCAGGATGGGTCTCTAATGAACCTGGCCAAGACTGAAAACACGTCATCCGTACCAAGCTCCAAACTGACAGCCCTGTTCAGCCGACGGAGGTGTTCAAGGTAGCACTTTACTCGTTTGATAGATCAGTGTCCCCTGAAAGCATTAAATCATATGCTGAACTTTAGAGGTTATCCACAGCATTGTGAGGCTTTGATAAAAAGGGATCTGGAGAGTAGAGTGGATTTATAGGACAAGAGTTCAAATGTGCTGGCCTCTTCATGTCCAGAGAAATTGTTCTTTGTAGTGTCTTCCCTCTTTTATTTTGTACTAAGGAGGTGTGGTGGCTCTGTGGGTTAGACCTCAGGCTGGTAACTGCAAGGTCAGCAGTTCAAACCTATTCAGCCTCTCTGAGAGAAAGATGAGGTTGCCGGCTGCTATATAGATACACAGTGTTGGGAACCCTATATAGGAGTTGGAATGGACTCAGTGACATTTGGTTTGGGGTTGATTGGTTTTGTACTGCCCTCTCCTGGCTATTCAGTTTCTTGTTAATGAGGACCCCTTGTCGCATAATAGTTACCTTTCTCCCAGAGAGAATGATGGGGCTTTCTCACCTGTTAACTGTTAAAGTCTCAGAAACTCACAGGGGCAGTTCCGTTCTGTCCTCTAGGGTCACTGAGAGTTGGAATCGACTCTGTGGCAGTGAGCTATTAATGTTTACTAGGAGCACTGGATGTGGCTACCATGTCTGCTTTCCTGTAGAAAGTAGCTTCTCCTCTCATTGTATTGGTTAATTCAGATGTGCACAGGCACAAGATTGCTGGAGATGGAGCAAATATGTATCTGCAGGTAATTTGATCATCTACATGGACTTTGCCATGTCTGCATAAGATCACTCATCACATTTTATCAGTTGTTGACAATCCAGTGTGATTGGAAGTTCACATGGACACCTTTTCTCTGTGTTTGTGTTTTACAGTGGCTGCTAATTTACAGAAGATTGTAGACGATCCCAAAGCGTTGAAAACATTGACATTTAAATTGGTAAGTGAGAAGCTGTGGAGGGAAGGCGGGTGTGTTGCCGTGCTTTGCCAGTAAGGGCTAACAACAACAGAGCCTCCTATAACCTATTTGCTGGTTTTCCCATTCTTTTCCTTTGGGACCTGTTTTTGCACTTGCCATTTGCCTCGTCAACATTTAGAACCCTTTTCTGACTGGCCAGAAATTTCCTGTCAAATGGGCATGCCTTGTTCTTTTACAATCACCTCTTTAGTTTAGCTTAAAAATGGCCATTTGAGAATCTTGTAACCTGCACCATTTTCCTTCCAGCTTGTATGTCAGCTTGACCATATTGAACTGAATTCAAATTAACCCTCCTACCAAAGCACTTTCCCTTATGGTGAAAGCCAAATATTCCAACTTTTAAAAATCTGAGGCTGATAGTTGGGGAAATGGTCTAGATAATTGGAAGTGATTGTAGAATAGCTCACTAGTGAACAAAGACACATGGTTTTAATACCACATTTTCAAAGCACAAGAACAGATTCTTGTAAGGAAGAAAGAATTCCAACAGTTTGTCTACATCATTATCGTCAGCACTGTCGAATCAATTTAGACCCGAGCAACCCCGTGCGACAATAGAGCGGCCTCACGCGGTTCTTGCAGGCTGCAATCTTTACAGGAACCAAGCGCTAGGTCTTGCTCCCTTGGGACTAACTAAGTGGGCTCCTTTTCTGCCCAGTGCATTTGAAACAAAGACGGAGAACACCAGGCCTTAGGAAACCAAGACAGATAGAGGAATGTCCAAATAGTCAAAGTGATTCTTCCATGAAACTTTTGCCTAAGAGTACTCTTGCTGAAGGTCTAATCAGTAGCTCATTTTAGAATTATTAACGAATACTTTCCAGGGCCAGTCAGAATGCAGCTGGCAATCTGAAAAAAATCTAGATGACCAACACTTGGCTGTAAGCGACATATATTGATGATCTGGCCGTTTCAGTTTTTGGGAAAATTAAATGGCAAATGTGTGTGGCCAAAAGTGCTGAATGATTAGTTACAGTAAATGGGAGCCTGGTGCTAATTAACTTTGTGGCTCTCACTTCTCAGCTGGTTTCAGTTGGCAAGGCCGTGTGATAAAAGAACACCAAGACTTTCAGAGGAATTTATCTGAAGAAATTATCTCTGTTTGGGTAATAAAATAACGCTTTATTCAGGCTTGGCATGGTAAATTAGCAAATTGGAAAGAAAAGATCTTCCGGTTGGAAATGACACTGTCACTACTATTATGTTCTAATTTACCTACCGTTTTGAAACCACTTTGTGTTTCCTTTGTGTGCGGATACATTTATGAGACAATGGCACCATGTGTTGGCTTTTCACATCAATACACATGTCCCTCTCTTACTTTTTTTACAAGGTAAGATAGCTAGATGGTAAACCCAATCCAGAGCATGTCTCTGATGTGCAACAGGTGCAGAGGGATTCAAAGCTTGTGCTGACTGATTCTCGTCGTCTCTAAACTTGCGTGCCTGGAAAACAGCAGCCCCAGCCCTCTTTCGTTAAATAGTAAGAGTAATACAAACCTCAACCACATCTACTCTCATCAGTTTATAAGCTCCCAGGCATTCCCTCAGTTTTGACCTCGTTGGCTCTACATCCAGCATCCTAGCAGGATTCCATCCATGTTTGCCGAGATTCTCGCACAGCTGAATCTGTACCAATCTTCCTGCTTACCCCCTCAACAACCTAGACTCTGTTTGCCATATGGGAGCTCTAAGCTAGAGAAACTCCCCCAACTCCAGGAGCTTATGCTCCACTGTCCTCTAAAACTGAAGCTCCTGAGCAGGGCTGGTGAGGACCATGCCCACACCTTCCTTTGTCTCCCTCCTTCAACTCTCTCACCTCCTCTCCACTATTTCTCACTCTCCCTTTCTGCCCATCCTGGCTCTTGGCATGCACTTCCCCCACCCCATAGAATATTCTTTTCTCCCAGTTCTTCCTGGCCTCCTCTTCCTGTTGGTTTTCTTTCACAGTGCTTTCTCCGACATCCAGTCTTGGCGTAGGTCCACCTCCCATATTCGCCCCACAAAGATTCTATATTGAAATTGTGTACACTTACTTGTATCTCTGTTCTATCTCAAACAACATTTTCTACTTCTTTTCCATCTAGGTTTCGTAACTCATTGTAATGGCCACAAAGAACTCACAGAATTTAGGGTTTTTAAGGAAGCTGATAGGTTACAACACATGAGAATTGCTCAGGATATAGGCATTCAATCAGGACATGTTAATAAATGCCCAAAGGGCATGCTACTCCACTGTAATCCTCAACCCAAAGGTTTTCACAGCCGTTCAGCTCCAACTGTTAGGAGCCAGCCAACCCAGCTCCCCAAATTAAGGGCCCAGAGGCAGTCCATACCAGTAAGCCACAACCTAAAGGTGCTCAGCTTCCATTTCCATGAATCACGAAGCCTGGCTCCCCCCATTAAGTACTCAGAGGCACCCAGCCTCATTTGCTCTGTGGCCTGGGAAGGCTACTGCTTTGTCTCACGCTGTGATTCCTGGTTCTACTGCTGCTCCTCTGATGTCACAGCTGTGTGCTGGATCAAGGAGGTTCGCTTCTTAGGGATCTCAGAATCCACAGTACACACTCCAGTCATGACTTGCTGGGAGTGAGATTCCCCTCCCCAGTCCTGCTTTTCAGGGGATTCATTTGATAGCAGTCACAATGAATCCTGTGAACACTGACTCACAGGTGAATCCTGTCAGTGCCCTCCTCCACCTTCTTAACCAGAAGCATGCAGGAACCCATGAAAGTGTTAAGAGATTGCCTAGAACTGTGGTTCTCAACCTTCCTAATGCCACAACCCTTTCATACAGTTCCTCATGTTGTGGTGACCCCCAAATATAAAGTTAGATTCGTTGCTACTTCATAACTATAATTTTGTGAAAGGGTCGTTCAACCCCCAAAGGGGTGGCAACCTACAGGTTGAGAACCAAAGAACCATGTTAAATAATTCACTGCCCCTGCAGTATTTGTAAGAAATGTAGGAAGTCCTCAGCTCTCTCGGGTCTCTAGTGCCGAGCACAGTGGATGACTCCAAACAGGGACTTAATGATCAAGACACATTAGAACAACACAAACTCCATACAGGAAAACTTCAGCCATCATTCATTTTCTCTTGACATTTGTGACTTATGATTCCTGCCCCTTTCCATTGAGTTCCTTAAAATTCCCCAGCCTTGAACACAGAAGTAATAAGAGTTGCTTCCATTTATTATGCATGCTTTCTTTGCCTGCTATCCATGATTCAGTTTTACATACTTCATCTCAGTGAACCTAGTCCTCCAAATCTTATAAAATGGTAATATCATTCGGTTAACTTTGTTTAGGGGACCCCAGGATGGTTCTCAAGTTGGGTTCACTTGCCCAGAATCACACAGTACTGAAGGTGCAATTCTATCTGCCATCCAGTTTCAAGCAGAGCTTAAAACCAGTCTGTCCCAGTTCGGCCATGACCACTTAAGCGAAGAGAGGAATGGACCGTAATTTGTAAAATGTAGGTGAACCGGAATGGTAACCAGGCCAGAAAAAAGGCTGGGTCAGCACGCTGCTAGAAATAGAATCTCCCTATTAGAAGTCCAGGGCAGCATGTGAGTTGCATAGCAATCCAATCTCTTGATCAGCACAGTTAGAAACGATGGTGCCCCATGCAAAGATGATGGCTACCTAGCAATGTCGCTGTCTGCACAGACTTGGCGGTAGTCCAATCTCCCACAGCATGCTCCAGAAAGGACTTGCTATACCTCTTCTGAGTCTCCCTTTCACGTTACCATTTAGCCTCACCCCAATTAAAAAAATTTTGTTTGGTTGGCCTTGGCTGAACCAGTTTGAACTTGTTGGAAGCCCTGCTTTCAAACCTCCTACTGTCAATACGGATCCATCCTTAGAAGCAGGCCCCCAGTCTTAGGCTTGTCCAGCATTGCCTCCCATTCCCTGGGTAATGAAAGCACTAGCTTGCTCAGCAGTTAATCAGGCAGTTGGAGGTTTGCATCCGCCCAAAGGCATCTGAAAAGAAAGGCCCGTGGGAGTCGATTTCTGACGTATCACCCATTGAAAACTATGGTGCCACGTTCTGCCCGGGGGGCCCACATGACACAGATTAGCCTTCACAGCAACTCGTTTCTTTGTGGCTGTTGACATTGGTGGAGATGGAATCACATTGGCACCCTACCCAGACTGAAAAATAGTACTTTGTCCTGGAAACAGACTTGGGCCGGGAGGTGGGGAAGGGAGGACTTGTACTTTTTTTCTGCAGCTTTGACTGCAGTTGTGTGCTGTTTCCAGTAAATGGAAATTGATGTCTTCTTCCCCCCTGAAGATAGTTGAGGGAGTGACCTTCCATTTCTGTCACTTAGCTTTCTGCACAACCCTCGTTAAAACCTGAGAGGGCTCCTTTGTTGTTATCAGCTGCCAGCCACTTTGAGATCCACTTGAACGGAGTTAATTTGAACTGAGTTTTTGGCCTAATCTGTGCAACATTAACGTCCTGATAAAACCACCGAGATTCAAATGCATTCACCTGCATTCGTCACATTTTTATTTTATTGAAGAATAAAAGATCAAAGTATTCCAGCAGATTGACACCCCCCCATCAGCTCCCGCTGCCCCTGATTCTTTTAGCTCTCAGCTACTTATCATTTATTTTAATCTTGGCGCTTTGAGCTTTCTCAGGACCGCCGGGGTCCTGAAATTGTCTAAGGAGCAGTAATATCTTGAAGTACTGGCACTGGTACCCTGGTCCTACACCTCCCCTGCACAGTGGTCACACTTAGCACGTTGTGGGGGTGGTTTAAAAAATGACTGATACCTACGACCTAATTCCAGAGACATGGATTTAATTGCTCTAGGTCAGCAGTTGGCAAACTTTAGAGATAGAAGAGCCAATCCTGCCCCTCACAACAATCTAAAAATTATAGCAGTTTGAAAGTGATTTGAGAGTCATGCATGTATATATTTTACAAACAAATGAAATCACCATTAT